TCGAAGAGGATGACCATCCCCTATAGAGGAGGACCGGTCTTCGGTCAAGCTGCACTCCCCTGCTAGAACCTCCAAACAAGCTCTCAAGAAATCTTGGTTTTTTGTTTTTTTTTTATTAGTTGGAGTCTAATTACTTTACAATATTGTAGTGGTTTTTGTCATACATTGACATGAATCAGCCATGGATATACATGTATTCCCCATCCCGATCCCCCCTCCCACCTCCCTCTCCACCCGATCCCTCTGGGTCTTCCCAGTGCACCAGGTCCGAGCACTTGTCTCATGCATCCAACCTGGGCTGGTGATCTGTTTCACCCTAGATAACATACATGTTTCGATGCTGTTCTCTTGAAACATCCCACCCTTGCCTTCTCCCACAGAGCCCAAAAGTCTGTCCTATACATCTGTGTCTCTTTTTCTGTTTTGCATATAGGGTTATCGTTACCATCTTTCTAAATTCCATATATATGTGTTAGTATACTGTAATGGTCTTTATCTTTCTGGCTGAAATCTTGTTTTTTTATATGGTGCTCAGTCACTTAGTCATATCTGACTCTCTTGCGACCCCCTGAACTATAGCCCCCCAGGCTCCTCTGTCCATGGAATTTTCCAAGCAAGAATACTGGAGTGGGTTGCCATTTCCTCCTGCAGGGGATCTTCCCAACCCAGGGATCAAACCCGTGTCTCCTGTGTTGACAGGCAGATTCTTTACCCCTGAGCCACCTGGGAAGCCCCATTTTTTATATGGAATGTTTCAGTTTTTTTTAATATTGGCAAGTAATTAAAACATACAGGCCAAATTGCAGCTCAGTCTGCAAGCTACAGAAAACCCTGGGAGCCAGATACAGCCATGCCCAGTGGTACATGGTCTGTGTAGCCTCCAGCTCCAGGGGACAGCCTCCAGCAAATCACCTTCCCATACCCAGAATAAAGTGACTGCCAGGCAAACTGAGATTCTCCTACTCTGAGAGTCACGTGTGATTGACTGCAGAACCAACGTACAGGTCCCTTGGTCTCATCCTTGTGGTTAGTGAGCCATTCTGCAGGGTGTCACCAGTCACTGAATAGGGTTGAGTGGGCCCTGAGGATACCAGCTTACCCTGGCATTATGTATTTTTGAGTGGAGACTGTTCCAGGCCTCCCCTGAAGGATGCTTGGACTCAGAAGCAGCGTTTGGGGTCTTTCTCTGAAGGCAGACTGATTCAGCCATGGGTCTGCCAGCCCAGCCATGCTCTGAGGACATACAAACATACTCTGAACTCAGGACCTTAGAGTCACCTTGCCTGCGCCCTCTCAAGACCGGGAGCATCATCACCTGGCCTCCCCACAGAAACTTTATGTTTCTCAGTGAACCCAGGGCAAGGAGGGTAGTTTCAGGCACCCCAGCACTGCACTGAGTGAAGGACAGAAGGAGCAGCCACTTGTGGTTGGATTTGTGATAAGAAAGAAAAGGTGAAACTCTCAGGGCAGGTGACCTCCGAGAATAGTCAGGGAACAGGGCAAACACACCTGGAGCGTTATATTCTCTTTTCCCTATCTGTGGTCCTGTATGCAAACCAGGGTCTGAGACTCTGTCCTCAAAGGTGGACTTCAGGCTCCTAGTGTATCGTAGTGAGACCCAGCTCAGAGACGGGCAAACCTGACCCATGGGAACGGAGGCCGGCATGAGCCTGAGGAGGGGCCATCCTCCGCACCAGACTCCTGTGATGATGGGAACACAGCCATCAGAACGGCTCTGCCCGTGCTCTCTGCAGCCACTGTCACAGTAACCTTGTGGAGAGGATGGTGATGGGAACTGCCCAAGGGAGCACCACCAGACGCTCACTGAGCAGTGTGACCAGGGCTCTTCCAGCATCTGCTGGAGAGCGAAGGGATCGAAAGGGCCCTGCCGTGTTTGTCCTTCTGGCTCTGCACATTGCTGCTCTTAGAATGGGACTGAGAGAGAGCCAGGTTCACCAGTCTGCACCACCCTTTAGCACCTTCTATAATTGCAGCCAGAGAAATCTAAGAACCAGGGCTCTGGTCCAAGAAGGGGACCGTGCGGTATCTTGAGTTAGGTGAGCAACTCCAGCTTCCTGCCTTTACTGCTTATTATAGCCTGAGACTTTTTAGGATGTAGAGTATCCTCTAAACTTTTTGAGAAATATGGGGTCAAATAGGAGCTTCCCAGGTGGCACCATGGTAAAGAATCCGCCTGCCAAAGCAGGAGATGCAAGAGATGCAGGTTTTGATCCTTGGTCTGGGAAGATCCCCTAGAGGAGAAAATGGCAACCCACTCCAGTATTCCTGCCTGGGAAATCCCATGGACAGAGGAGCCTGGCAGGCTGCAGTCCAGTGGGTCTCAAAGAGTCGGACACAATTGAGTGTGTGCGCACACGCTCGCGCACACACATATACCCAAATAGATCTTTGTTAGCTCTTTTTTGAAGTTGTTATGATGAAACAGCTTTTCCTGCCACTTAGGGAAAAAACTTGTGTTGAAATAACTTTTAAAACAAAGTAAATACTTTGCTGTAGCCAAGGTGGCGTCTACTTCAGTGCTGTTTTTTCTGGGGCCACAGCATGACCGGCACTCGCTCCTACTCCTGGCCAGACTAAGGACTATAGATTAACATCCACCCCTACATAGGCAAAATATATGAAACAACTGTTTTCAGATGTTGGAAAATAGGCAGCAGAGGACTGTGATTCTTGAAAGAAGGAAGACAGATGAGGCATCTGTCAGGTCCCCCTGGCTTTCTGCCCTAAGGCATTTTCTGGGCTGCAGTCACAGGGAGGGGAGCACCAGGCAGGGGTCAGTGCCTTCTCTGGTGGAGGAAACAGGAACTGGTGTCAGGAGGGGTATGCAGAAGAGAGCTCCTGAAATCCTGGTAGGAATTGTCTTGAGTCTTTACCGTGTCCTAGTTGATTGATGTGCAGAAGAAAACTCCACAAATTCAGGCAAAGGGAAGATAAGCAGCTTGTAAGCGTAACCATTTTCAGACCTCTTAGATGGTGGGGAGATAGTCAATCTCCAGCCTTCATTCATTGGAGACCCAGAGAAATCACACCTTGGTCATGGAGCTAAGTGTCTCTGAAGTGCAGACTCATCTAGACTTACCCTAGAAAGGCTCAAAAACAGTCTTTGAAATGACGAAATGAGAACCTAACTGCCTGTAAAAACAAAGCTCAACATTCTTAAAAAGACAAAATTCCAACACAGTACCTAAAGTGTGCAATAGCCAGTTAAAAATTACAAGACTTGTGAAGAAGCAGGAAAATGTGATCCAAAGCCAAGAGGAAAACCATTCAATAGAAAGAGGTTCAGAAATGACAGAAACGAGGAAACAAGCAAAGCCGTTGAAGTGACTGTTACGACTGCTTTCAGGTATTTAAAGGAGAACAATGAGAAGAACTGAAGCTCTGAAAAAGAACCAGACAACACTTCTGGAGATGAAAAATACAGTATTTGATAAGGAAAACACAATGGATGGGATTAACAGTAGAATAGATATAGCAGAAGAAAAAACATGGAACTTGAAGACATGGCAATAGAATCAACCCAAAATGACATACAGAGAGAGAACATAGGGCATAGAAAACAGCTTTGGCAACCTGAAAGAGAGAGTCTTAACGGAGGGGAGAAAGAAGGGCAGAAAAAGTGTTTGAAGAAATGATGCCCCTTCCCCCCACCCTTAAATTTGACGAAAACTCCTAACTCACTGATTCAAAAAATTTGTCAACCCCAAGCACCAGGATAAACACACAGGCACAAATTCAATCCAGGGAATATCATCATCAAGTTTCTGAAAATCAGCAATAAAGTAAAATCTTAAAAGCAGTCAAAGAAAAGACACATTACTTGAAGATGAATGAAAATGAAATTTATGACAGACTTCTCTTCAGAAACTATAGCTACCAGACGACAAGGGATCATCGATTGTCTCTAAGCTCTAAGAAAAAGGAGTGCGCAAAGTAGAATTCTGTATCTAGCAAAAAGATCCCTTAAAAATGGAGGCGAAATAAAGACATTCACAGACAAACCAGATAGAATCCATCACCAGCAGACCTTCCCTACAAGAAATAGTAAAGGACATTCTTCAGGCAAAGGAAATGATGGCAAATGAAAATTGGGGTCATGAGAGAAAAGTACAGAAGCAGCAGGTGAGTTTGTGGGTAAATGATGGAAATAGGCTTACATTTTTCTTTGGAAGATCACTGGCTGTTTAAAGCACAGATGATAACAGTGTATGATGGGGTTTGTGATACACATACAAGTGAAATGTATGACAAGATGGCATAAATGATGGGAAAGGGAAAGTACGCTCCTATTGGGCTCTTATATGTGAACTTGTATACTACTACTACTTCAAGGTAGAATGTGATAAATTAAAAATGTATATACCATAGAGCAACATTCAAAAACAACAAAACAAACAAAAAGCACAAAGATGTATAGCCAATAGGGCTGTAATAGAGATAAAATGGGATTTAAAAAAACACAAATTCAAGAGTAGGCAGGAAGAGACTTCCCTGGTGGTCTGGTGGCTAAGACTCTGCGCTCCCAATGCAGGGGGCCCAGATTTGATCCCTGATCAGGGAACTGGATCCCACACACTGCAACTAAAGATCCTACATGCTGAAACTACAAAAAGATCCCGAATGCCACAATAAATATCCAAAATCTGCATGCCGCAACTAAGACCCAGCATCACCAAATAGCTAAATAAATGTTTTAAAAAAACCAAAAACTATAAAATGTCTAGAAGAAATCATAGGACATCTTTGTGACTTTGAGCTAGGCAAAAATTTTTTAGGATAGAAAAAAGTCTAAACCTTAAATGAAAAAAATTTGATGGATTGGGCTTCATCAAAATGTTAAAGTTCTGCTTCTGCAATGACACTCTCAAGAAGGTGAAAAGATAAGCTGGGAGAAAATATTTGAACATATATCAAGGACCTGATCCAGAATATACAAAGAACTTTACAACTCAGTGGTAAATAAATAAGCCCAATTTTTATTTTTTATTTATTTTTTTAACCGGCAAAAACAGTTTATTGAGTAAAACTAAAAAAGACTTTAGAGTCCTCCCCGGCCGAAGAGACCCACAGCAGGGAGCCACAAGCCCTGCATCAGGACCGCGCTGAGGAGCCCTGGAAGAAATCATTGCACATAATAGTGATGAGGGCCAGGAAGACGGCGTACTCCTGGAAGTCCACCTGCTGGTCACTGTTCTCATCCAGATCACCCATCAGCTTCTTCAGGCCCTCCTCATCCACCTTGTCCCCCACAAAGCTGGGCAGCTCCTTGTGCAGAAGCTCCTTCATCTCCCCCTTACTCAGCTTGAATTTGTCTCCCTCTTGGCCAGAGTACTTGTGGAAGGTAGCAACAATCACAGCCAGCGCCTGCTCCAGGGGACTGGACATCTTGGATCCGAGGCAGACCAGAGAGCAGAGAGAGACTCCTGAAGGAAAGCAAAGGGCCAGATGCCCAGAGTTGGAATTTATATGCTAGCCCCACTGGCCCCCAACTTTGCATTTTAAGGAAACCAAACCTGCCCTAACCTGATCCCGCCAAAGCCTGGCCTCCTGCCACCCCCTCACACCCCCTCCCAGTCCCTCCCTTCCTGGGCAGCCAAGCTAAATAAGCCCAATTTTTAAAATAGCCAAAATACTACAGAAGACACTTCAAAAAAGAAGAGATACAAATGGCCAGCAAGCCATGAAAGATACTCAGTGTTAGTCATCAGGGAAATACAAATTTAAACCACAGTGAGTTGCCACTACACAGTCACTCAGACAACCAAAACCACACAATAATATGGCAATATCAAGCGGTAGCAAACACATGGAGCTGCTGGAAGTCACACTGCCTGAGAGAATGCAGTATGGTCAACTGCTTTGGAAAACAGTTAGGCAGTTTCTTAAAAAAAAAAAAACTTGCAGTTGCTCTCGCCTCCTCAGATGGTCCACACTGTCTGTGGAGTGTGTTTCTCTCTAAATAAATCCATTTCTTACCTATCAAAAAGAAAAAAACTTGCTACACGACTCAGCCATTCAGTTCCATGGTAACCAACATCCAAGCCCCAAAGGCCTTAACACGAATGTCAGATTGGAAACAACGCAAATGTGCATCAACAGATACATGGAAAAGCAAATTACTGTGTAGCAGCATGATGTGCTGCTTTTCCATGTATCTGTTGATGGTCAGTGGTAAAGAGTCTGCATGCCAACGCAAGAGATGTGGTTTCGATCCCTAGGTCTGGAAGATCCCCTGGAGAAGGGAATGACAACCCATTCCAGTATTCTTGCCTGGAAAAATCCCATGGACAAGAGGAACCTGGCAGGCTACTGTCCATGGGGTTGCAAGAGTTGGACACAATTGAGCGACAAAACAAGTATGCTCTACTACTCGACAAGCAAAAGAACTACCAGTACATATGACAGCAGGAATGAACCTCAGAAACATTGCTTTGATCTCTGGAAGAACCAGACATCAAGCACACCCTAGTGTCTTTTTTTTTTTTTTTTTAAAATTTTTGGCTGCGCTGGGTCTTTGTTGCCGTATGGGCTTTTGTCTGTGTTCGACCAGTGGGGGCCACTCTCCAGTTGCTGTGCACGAACTTACTGCGATTTCGTCTCTTGTGGAGCACAGACTGCAGTTTGCAAAGGCTTCAGTAGTTGCCGCACGTGGGCTCAGTAGCTATAGCTCTGAGGCTCTTGAGCTCTGGCTCAATAGTTGTGGGGCACAGGCCTAGCTGATCCCAGATGAGGGATCGAACCTCTGTCTCCTACATTGGCAGATGGATTCTTCATATCTGAGCCACCAGGGAAGCCCCCTAGGGTACTCTTTATATGTGAACTTCTAGAAATGTCTCACATAGTCAGCAATGACAAAAAGCAGATCGGTGGTTACTTCAGGCTGGGAGTAGGGATGTTTGGGGTTGACGGAAATGTTCCATAGACGTAGATGTATAGATTTTATACAGCCCATTGAAATGCACCCTTAAAATGGGTGCATTTTATAGTATATAAATTATAGCTCAATAGAAGTTATTTAAAAAAAAACAACAGCAAAAGATCTCCTATGTTCAGCATCACCCAGACAGCAGTTGGAAGCAGCGTATTCTGGAGAACTCTGGCCTTCTGCTCTTGATGTTCTGTCTCTCTCCTGCTCCATGGTCCCTCCTAATCTTGGTTTCTAGTCTGGGTTATCTGCGTCTATTCCAGGCAAAATCAAGAAGAACCAAAGTAGGACAGACACCCAGTGTCAACTTGCCTCACGCCACTGCAGATCCTTGCAGAATTCTTGTAATTCATATCAATTTACTCAGGCCCTCTTAATTATCTTCCACTGGGCACTCAGGACTCCTCGGGGAGGTCATTACTGTCAACAGTGCCCTCCCAGTGGGGCCCCAGAGCCTCTCGGAAGGGCCTCAAGAGCCCTGAAGGTGGGAGGAGTGGAAGAGCCTTTGGCATCCTACGCTCATCCCAGCCTGGGCTGTCCTTTCCCTCAAGCCTGCACTCGAGATTTCGTTTGAAGGAATAGTAACTCAAAAAAAAAAAATTTATAGAATCAGTGTAAAGAACAAACCCATCCACTTCTGTTTTTGTTTTGTTTTTATCCATAAGGGGTTATTTGGTCTCTGGAGAACACTGCACATTTCACAGTTTGTGAGGAGAGGGAAGGCCCCTCGGTGCTGGTAGCAGAAACAGCAGTGGGAACAGCAGCACTCTGGCCACAGACAGCCACGACAGGGCACGTCGGGCTGTGTTCCAATGAGACTATATTTTCAAAATAGGGCAGGCTGACTTAGAGTTTTCTTGCCTTTTCCAGTACTTGATCCTATTTGCTGGAAGGTCACAGTTCTGCAGAGAAGTGCTCTGTAGTGCGCAGTGGGCTCATCTGTCCACCCTCCTTGCTGAACTTCCTTGGTGGTGGTGGTTTAGTTGCTAAGTCATGCCTGACTCTTTCGACCCCATGGACTGCAGCCCGCCAGGCTCCTTTGTCCATGGGATTCTCCAGGCAAGAATACTGGAGTGGGTTGCCATTTCTTCCTCCAGGAGATCGAACCCAGATCGATCGAACCCAATCTCCTGAGTTAGAGGCAGATTCTTTATCAGCTGAGCTATGAGGGAAGCACTAACAGTTTGTCTTGCAGTGCTTTTTTCCCTAAGTGGATGATCCTAGTATCTTCAGACAGTGACTGTCTTCCCTTCACTGCTTATAGCCCTATTTCATTTAATTTCCTTACAGAGCTGGTTGGGGCCCTGAAACTGTGTTAACAGGAGTGTCATCAGGGGCATCTTGTCTCATTCTCTGACTTGAAGAGATTGAGGCTCATTTTGCACTAAATAAAGTGATTGCTGTGAATTTTTAAATGTAACCTCTATCAAGTTAAAGTTTTTCCCTTACATTCTTGATTTACCAAGAGTTTTCATCTTGAATAAGTGTTAAACCTCATCAGATGTTTTCCTGCATTAATATAATCATATATATATTTTTTGCTTATTGTGGTGAAATATGGTGGTAGATTTTCTGATATGGAACCCACCTTGCATTACTGGGATAAACTATCCTTGATCTATTTTTAATACCAATTTGGCTTGCTAATGTTTATATATATAGTTTTTATAGCTACATTTATGAGTTAAATATTCCTGTGATTTTTTTTTTTTCTTGGGTTGTCTTTATCTGGTTTGGAAATGTAGATTACCTCATACAGTGAGCTCTTTTTCTACTTTTCTGAGTAATTGGAATCAGATAGAAATTGACTATTCCTTGAAATTTGGGTCTCTGAAAATTCACTAGAACCTCGTATAAACCTATCTGAGCCACAAGTCTTTGGAGAGGGAAGTTTTTGATCATCATTTCAATTTTCTTAATAATTATTGGACATTTCAAATGCTTTTTTTGTGTGTGTGCTGGTTTTGGAACTTTCCATTTCATCTAGATTTTATTAGCTTACTAGTGAACAGGTGTTTATAACATTCATTTTTACCCAGTTATTCCCCTGCCATGTGCATTTTTTCTCCCTTTTTTTTTGGATCCATTTTGGCAGAGGTTAATCTTATTAATCTCTGCAGACAGCAGTTTGAATTCTGTTGATACTCTGTGCTGCTTGTTTTCTTGGAGTTTCCATTCCACTGAATCTTGCCTTTAATGCTATGACTTCCTTTTTCTTGTTCCCAAGTTCGTTCTGTTCCTTTCTCTCCAGTTTCTCCCCCTGAAGGCTAGCTCATCTCCTGGTAGTCTTAACTGTTAGTATTTCCAGATAAGTGTATTGGCAGCTGCTTGAGCTATGTCCTACAAATTCTGAGATTCGATTCTAAATATTTTTTGAATTCACCATATGGTTTCCTACATAACTCAAGGATTATTCAGTAATAAGTTAGTATCCAAGCAGAAGGGATTTGGGGAGATTTTGATGTTGGTTTCTAATTTTATTGTATTAATATTCTATTTGGAATGAATTGAGACTTACCCTGTGGCCTGAGGGGCTCTCCAGGTGGCAGTAGTGGTAAAGAACCCGCCTGCCAGTGCAGGAGACATAAGAGAAGCAGGTTTGATCCCTGGGTCGGGAAGATCCCCTGGAGTGGGAAGTGACAACCCACTCCAGTACTCTTGCCTGGAGAATCCCATGGACAGAAGAAGCTGGTGGGCTACAGTCCATGGGGCCGCAAAGAGTATGTATGGTCTGATTCTGTGTATGGTCCTTGTTTGGCAAAAAAAGAATGTGTACTATCTACCTACTAGTTTAGACATCTCTGTATCTAATAACTCAAGCTAATTAATTCCGTTGACTAAGTCTTTGCCATCTCTGTATGGCTTTATGATCAATCAGTTCAGTTCAGTTCAGTCGCTCAGTCGTGTCCGACTCTTTGCAACCCCATGAATCACAGCACGCCAGGCCTCCCTGTCCATCACCAACTCCCAGAGTTTACTCAAACTCATGCCCATTGAGTCAGTGATGCCATCCAGCCATCTCATCCTCTGTCATCCCCTTCTCCTCCTGCCCTCAATCCCTCCCAGCATCAGGGTCTTTTCCANAGCGTTTCTCATGATGTACTCTGTATATAAGTTAAATAAGCAGGGTGACAATATACAGCCTTGACGAACTCCTTTTCCTATTTGGAACTGGTCTGTTGTTCCATGTCCGGTTCTAACCATTGCTTCCTGACCTGCATATAGGTTTCCCAAGAGGCAGGTCAGGTGGTCTGGTATTCCCATCTCTTGAAAAATTGTCCACATAAGGGTGATTAAAACCTCCACCTACCTGGTTTTGGATTATCTACTTTGCCTTGCAGCTCTGTCAGATGTGATTTGTGTTTTGAAGTTGTCCCTTCACAAGGACTCAGAGTTCTTCTTTATACCTTAGAACAGTTTGTGCCTAATTTTATTTTATTTTTTTGTTTGTTTTCAATTTTTATGTGTCTTTTTTTTGTTTTTGACCACACCACCACAAGTCATGTGAGATCTTATTCCGTGACCAGGCCCCCTGCAGTGGAAACACGGAGTCCTAACCACTAGACCACCAGGGAATTCCGTCTTTTGTTTTAGGTGGGTTTAAAACATCTTTACACAACATCTTGTTGAATCTTGTTTGTTTGTTTTGAA